TCCTTCTCCTTCTCCTTCTCCTTCTCCTTCTCCTTCTCCTTCTCCTTCTCCTTCTCCTTCTCCTTCTCCTTCTCCTTCTCCTTCTCCTTCTCCTTTTTGGTACCGGAGATCGGAAATTGAACTCAGGACCTTGTGCTTGCAAGACAGGCAGTGACACAACTGAGCTAAATCCCCAGCCCTCTCCTTTTCTGCACAAGTTTGCAATACATAATATTTACATTCCTTATGTGGGTGTTGGTACATGTACATAATACATCTTAATTCCTTTTTCCATCCCCTTTTCCTACTTCCCTCTCCCCTCCCCCTTTGTACACTTGACTTCTATACATCATTTGTACATATAAATGAGCACAACTGAGTCAATTTTTAATTATTATAAACATTAGTACATTGAGTATATTATATATTAAATGTTAAAAAATCCATGTCCACTCTCTCATTCTAGGTCTGTCCTTAAAAGAGTAATTAATTCCCTTTCTAATAACACAGTATCAAGATTCATTGGCTGTTACAGTTGCTATCTAAAATATTCCTGCAAAAGGTTGTTTTGAAGGCCTGCTTGCCAGCTGTTGGATTTTTGGAGGTTTGGGATCATGAGGGCTCTAATTTCATTACTGGATTAATACACTGATGAGATTGTATTTTGACAGCTTTATCGGGAGGTGGTGGAAATGGGAGGCTTGGCTCTTCTGCTTCCCGAGTGCCATGAGATAAACAGCTTTACTCCACTATATCCTTCTGCCTCCTCAGGCCCACAGCAATGGAATCAGACAAATATGGACTGAAACCAGGAGCCCAAAATAAACCTTTCCTCCTTTAAGTTGTTTATCTCAGGTACAGTGGTACCTTGGTTTACGAACTTAATTCTGGTCGCAGAACTGCATATGCCTTCAATTTGGATGCAACCAGAATCATGGAAGAATTTTTTTTTTTTACCGGAATCATAAAAAGAATTAAGTTTGTGAACCGAGGTACCACCGTATTTTGGCAAAGTAACAAAAGCCGACTAACAGAGTGCCAAATACACAGAAATTTCTCAGGTCCTTTTCACATAATCCTAATCCATGTTTTTAAATTTCAGCATTCAATTTCTTTCTTCTCCAAATGTTGGAGTAAAATATAAATACCAATATATTTCCATTACAATGCATGGATATATTGCAAATTAAAACTAAGATTAACAAACTCCCTTAGGACAAAGAGTCATTTTTACAGTTTCTGAGGGGGATGCTTACCTATGATGAGCCTTTGAAGTGTACCCTTATCTCCATTAACTGCAGCAGCATGAACTTGTGATGCTAATGAAGAACCAGTAAAGGGAAAGTTCTCTGACTTGTTCATAGTTGTCCCAACAACGGGAGGAGTCTGAAACAATGATTTAGTCAATGAATATATGCAGGAAACATTTCTGAAACATGTCTCATCAGGTCCAAGTGTGGATGTTGTAAATACATTTTACAAGAAATATTTCACTACAATGAAAACAATGTAATCCTAGTCCTAGAACTATCATAATGTGGCAAATTAAGTGACATTAGTACAAGTTGCTTATCTATAAAATAAAAGGATCCAGTGCTTTTAAAACCATTCTCAAAGATTGAGCAAAAAAAGACCCAATATTTAACATTAGGTACAGGATTCAACGAGCACAGTGACTTCTAAGTTAATACAGGTAATACGATTCCATATAATACTAAACATTATAATTGACATTTAGAATCAAGCTGTAGATCAAGCCAGATGTCAAAGCAGAATCAACCAGATTTAAGCACTATTAAAAAGGCACCTAGTTCTTTTCTCCATGTCTGCAAAATGTTAAGGTTTTAAAATTTTTTTCTTCTTGATCCACTAAAGAAACACACCTAGCTTGAGATCTTGACCTTAAGATTTTACTAGGAACACAATATCTTTAGGATTAAGCATATTTCACTAAGAAAAAATGTTCTGCTTGGTAATCTCATGTCTTTTTTTCAGGGCCTTTTAGAAATATATGTTACATAGAAAAATAGTGACTTCCCTCTCAGAAGAGTGGTCAAAGTAGAGGTTGGAATATGTTTGGAATGTAGCCAGAATTTGAACATCTTATAAGAAGGAGTGAAGGGAAGATACATCAATGATGTTAAATATACTTGCTAAACCTAAGGTGCTCTATCAAAAATCCAGAGTTGAATGTCAACAAGTACCAAGGAGATAGCAGGTGTAAGAAATGTAGGAGTTATGAGAATCATGAAAAACTGGAACACACTGTACATACTAATGATAAGTGAGCAGCTGTTAATTGGTTCCAGTTAATTGCTGCCATGAAGGTAGGCAAGTCCCTTCCAATTTCACTAAAAAGCATGTCATTCCAATTTCTGTGCCTCCTGGGGTTTGGGGAGTTTTGCTCCAAAAACTCTGGGTTTGCTCCACAACAAGTAAGAACTTCTATTGTCATTGACAAGGATATTTGGTTCGAATTCTTCCTTAGGGAGAAAATATTTTTTAAAGTTATGGTAAAAGCTCCTCATGTTTATTTTGCTGGCAATTTGAGTTAACATAGTGACAGAAAATATAGAGGAAAATGGTACTGTGAGACAATTCAGTTATGTCTGAGCTTGTCTGTCATGTCAGAAGAACCACTAATATAATCATATATAGGATTATATTAAAGTCACTTGGAGAAGCCACAAAACTGAGGTGGAGGCAGAAACATAGTAGAAAGTAACTGTGCCTGAGTTCTAGGTTGGGTTGTTAATAATCAGCAGTGTGTCCTTAGATTTTCTCAGCTCTCTGAATTTCTGTAAAATATGAAAAATGAAAAGTGTGGACTATGTTTATTCATTTAACAAGTGCCAACTATGTAATAGGCATTGTTCTGAACTCTTAGCCCTATCATTTTAAATTTTAAGTGATCAGTTTTAGGCACATCAGAACCACAAAAATGTTCTTTGTATACTTTGAAAAACACATTAAAATTAGATTTTAGTTGTGTCTATATGTATTTACAAGTTTCATTTCATAATTCTCGGCACTCAGCATTGTAACATTGAGAGTTGGTGCTCAGTAAATGTTTACTGAATGAAAGGTTACAGACTGAGTACTAAGTCCAAAGGGTAAGCAGGATCAAAGTTTAATTTCTTTTTTAATTCCTCAGTTCAACTATATTTGGGTTCTGTCAGGGGGGCAGATAAGTAGTATAGAGATAAGAGCACTGCCATAGAAGTTAGGAGATCTTATTCTTGGCCTCTGCCACTGACTTAACTTTGTCACCCTGGGAAAGCTATTATTTTTAGCAGAGATGTATTTTTTGTTTTTTTTTTTTTTTTGGTACCGGGGATCGAACTCGGGTCCTTCCACTTGCATGGCAGGCGGCGGAACCACTGAGCTAAATCCCCAGCCTGTGAATTGTTTTTTATAGATGAAAATCAAAATGGCTTTGTTAAAAGTGCTACAACATGCAAAGGTACCATCATCTTTATCTTGTTACAAAACAAGCCAGTGTAATAAATGCTTGATAATCATAACTGTACAAAACTAGTGAGTGTTGTAGTCACACACAAAGGAAAAGCAATTTTCCTTGGGATAAAAGGGTGGTTGATTATGACAGATGTCAGTGCTGACAAATGTCAGAGATGGTGACATTTGAGATGGCATTCCAGAAAGAGATGAGGTAAGGCCATTTTAGGCAGCAGGAAAGCTGCAGCAAAGGCAGAGTGCAGGAAGAACCATAAAAGCTCTAAGTGCTGCCTCCTGGGTGCTTAGTAGTGAGTACGTAGCTATCCTTAAGGGCACACGGACCTGCTGGGTGTTTACAGAAGATCCTGGAGAGCTACCAGGAGCCAGGTTAAGATCCCTGACTGTTTGGCCAAGGAATTTGTAATTATCCTTCTAAGCTATGCTTTAGAAGCAACCATTTGGCACTGAACTTTTCAGTTTACAACGTGCTATCCTATCTCTTGAGATAGCTACTCTTTCCACGGGCCCTCATCAATTAGGGATAAGACATTAACTCATTGAGGCCCTAAGTGGGGGCTCCCATTTGTAATGAAGGAATTAGCGCAGAAAGAGCAGGCAGCAGGCGAGGAGGCCAGCGAGCGAGGAGGCTCAGGTTAAGGGTAAGGCCGGGAGGACGGTAAGTCTGCGGCAGTGGTGGTGCACACCAATCGATCCGAGCCTCTCAGCTAGGCCCTTTCCTACTCACCCTCGCCTCCTCCAGGACTGACGTCCCGGGGGCGGCTCCAGGAGGCGACCCCCACTGGGCCGCCCTTCCCGCTAGGCGCGTGACACCACACTCGTAGGCTCAAAACCCAAGGCGCTGAAGCCAGCAAGCCCCTTCAGAAGGCCTCCGGAGGCGCTCGGCTGCCCAGTCTTCTGGGAATTGTAGTTCTTGTCCAGGGAAACTCAAAGGTACACCGCCCTCTGCCCTTTCAATCCCACAGGCCCTAGCGCGAGAAGGCTCGACGGGTCTGGTTTAAGGGCCTGCTGGGAAAGCAAGTTTTGGGCGCTGGATGACGTGCTTGGCGAGGGAAGTGGAGGACTACATTTCCCGACGTGCTCCGAAGTGGGCAGGACCCGGAAGTGAGGGCGTACGAGGCCTCCCTGGAAGTTGTCCCGGGTGTTCGCTGCTGAAGCTCCGGGTCGAGAGGACGAGGTGCAGCTGCCGGGAGGATTCTCTGCTGCTGTCGGCTCCCGGAGCCCAGCCCTTTCCTCTCGCAGCACAACCCAGTCCAGTTCCAGCTACCAACGCCTGTCCCTGCGGCGGACCCTAGCATTACCATGAATCCTGCTGTCTTCCTATCTTTACCCGACCTCAGATGCTCCCTGCTGCTCCTGGTGAGTGAATGGGGGAATGACAGAACCTTCGACACACTCACCGACCGCCTCCCGCTCTCGGCGAGAGGAAACATTGCTCCCGCTGCTTTCTTACCTTTTCCTCCCGGCTCGAGGAGTGCAACCTCCCCCTCTGCCTTCACTTTGCCATCCGTCTGTCGACATTCCAGGCCCAGGCTCCCCGAGGCCCGAGAAATCACGGTCAGGGTTTGGGACCTGTAAACAGGAGAATGAATCCTGGGGGAGTATAGTACGTGGGAGGGTCACGGGAGAAACTCCCTTTACTCTCAGAGTATGGGCGTTGTTTCAGTTTTGGGGCCATATGGACCTTGTACCTGAATCCAAAAGGACCGGGGATAGAACTAGTGTTTTCTTCCACCTCCTCCCTTTGGGAACGGTGTAAAGCCGACAGATTCTGGGGCCGTGTGGATCTCACTCTTGAGCTCTGAAAAGGTGCGCGGGTTTGCAGAGCCATCTGTTGTGGCTTCATAGGATTGGTTGGGAACCCGGAACTGGAGACTGTTATGGTTTCTGCTGGGAGAATAAGAGTTGGAAAAGGGTGTGATTATCTGACAGGCTCAACTCTAGGCCTCCTTTAAGTCCTGTTACGGCCTTCTTCCGCCTCTGAAGCGTATTTCTTTAGTGCTCTTGATTGCAGAATGACAAGATCTTCTACATATGCACTCATTACTCAACTTCCTAACCTGCTCAACATATCCCATTTTACAAAAGAATCTTTCCTCAGTCCCTCTTCCTCCGAAGTACATCCTGACTATGCAACCTACTTGCTTATGTTTTAGGTCAAATTCAAATAAAAGTGAAGAACAAACTCCGTATGGCAAAATGATGTGCGTTTAATTAGGTTGTTGTTATCATACAATATTTGAAAATATTTTAATTGTAGGAGAGTTTTAGTTTTAGAAAGCCAAATTAAGACGAGCGAAACTCATTTTCTTTGCAGTTTAAGAAACATGTAACCCATAGGGGGTTATAGCAGGTTACAGGCAGAACTGTGACTAGAAACAAGTTTTTTGATTAGCAGTGCTTATTTCATCATGTCACATTAAATTTTATTACTTGTATTTGAAATAGTTTTTTCTCTTTATCTTTGTACTTACAAGATGTATATAAAAGCCATGTATAGCACTTGTGTCCTTTTCAGAAAAAAAGCACTGTAAAAAACTAAATTAAATGTCAGTATACTTTTGAGAACTAAAAGCTATATTATAAACATAGTAATATTAAATGGCAGAATTTCTTATTACCACTTATAAGAATACAACAGTGATTTCTGTATAGAGAAACATATTCTGTATGGTGCTTTTTTTATAATTTCAGTATACATTGATTCTTTTTTCCTTCTAGAAGTGTTGGTATAATGCTATTAGAGACTACTCTATTATTAAGGACACTAAATGCTTATCTTCTCCTTATCCATAAAATGGCTTGAATTAAGAGTTGTTTTCTAGAAATCATTTTTAGGTTATTGAAAGGTACAAAGGACAAAAAAATTCAATGGAAAGAAAAGTTGAAAACTTGAATAAGAAAACTATATCAGATACTCTTTCCTCCATTGGTCTTCTTTGAAATGACTTAGCTTTTTGTAGAAAAGTAGTTCTGCTAAGTATGTAAAGGATTTTTTCAAATAAAATCTATATTTTACTAAAATCAAGTTAACATTTTGTCTATTTATTTTTCTAAGGTAATGAAAAATAGAAGCCTAGAACAAATGAGAATACCTGTCAAAATGATCTGGAAGATAAAGTCCCAGAAAAGGTTTAATAAACCAGAATTACAAGTCAAATTAGATTCAATTTGAACACAGTGTTTGTCTAGTTTTAGTAAGCGTGTACCAGTTAGCAAATATTTATAAAACATCTATCTAATCACAACTTTGAGTTGCTTGCCTGATTGATAATTCTGTCAGAGTTAGGGAACCTCCTTATTCTTTATCTCACCTAACAAATTACATCCTCTGTGTTCCCCAATGTATTCTTTTGTCTTCCAACTTCTCAGATTTCAAGTTTATTCCTTTCTATACAAACATAAAAAACTCATGTTCCCACTTGGTATGGAAACTGCTACATATTCTTTTACTACAATAAGTTTTTTTCAGGCACTCAGCACCTTAGCCCTAAAGAAGTAGGCATATTTAAATTTAGTGGTATTCATAAGATAACACTAGAGACATAATGCTAAGCTTCTAGGGGCAAGTAACTACCTTTTCCTGATCTCAAAAGCACTTTAAAACATACTGCTCTATGCCTACAAAGCCTTTGCAGCTAGGTAACTAAACACAAAAACTCAATGTGATAATTTTCTTCCCAAGGCCTGATGTATATTAAAATATATGTAATTAGTTGGCCCCTTTCTGCTTTTATCTGAGATAGGTTTATTCAGGATTGAAAATAATTGTTTTCTGCCTAAGTATTTCTTAGTAGTATTATTTCTGCATTGGTCGTATACAAGAGTTTGGAAAAGTGAAGTAAGAGAAATAAGGCTAAATTGGAATGAAATTATCTAGTATATCCTAAGTATCTTCTGTGGTTCAGAGATTTAATATTCTACTCCAGTTCCTCTATTCAAAATAGTTTCTCATTAATCTTATTAATTATGTTTATAGATCATAAACTGTAACTAACCCTAACTGACCTATACTTGAATACTTAAAATTTTTGCCATTGTTCTTTGGTTTGTTCAGTATGTACAGAAAGTTAGAAAAAGTTTGCTTATTTTAGGAAGCTAATTAGGAAGCTGATTTATTTAATTTAAAATTTTATAACTGTCTTAAAAATAAGTGCAACAAAATTCACAGGTGTCAGTTTTAAACATTAAGGCCAATAATAAATACAGAATCCAGTCCTCAAGAAAAGTGGTTTTTAAAAATTTTTTTGGTACCGGGGATCAAACTTGGGTCCTTGTGCTTGCAGGGCAGGGGGTGGAACCACTGAGCTAAATCCCTGACCCTGCTTTTTTTAAGTTTTAAAATTTTATCTTATTGTGGGCTGTGGTGGCGCCCGCCTATGAACCCAGCACTTGAGAGGCTGAGGCAGGAGGATCACTGTGAGTTCGAGGCCAGCCTGAACTATACAGAGAGACCCTGTCTCCAGAAAAAAAATTATCTTTTATTTTATACTCATGTAAAACTCTTCCAAAGCCAAGTCTATAAAGCAAATGGTATTTGAATAGTTCTGCTGTCTTCTCTTCTTATTTCCTTCCTAATATAAGACTTTTAAGTTTATTTTTAAATTTTATGACCATTCCATCCTTTGAGGTTTTTTTCTTTTTTCTTTTTTTGTATTAAATTCTTTTATTGGTACATTGTAGGTATACAACACAATTACATGTCTCATTGGGAACTGTACCTTTATATAATGCATCTTGGTTCTTATTTTTTCCCCATTCCTAGCCCTCCCTTCACACCC